GAGGTGTCCGAGGACTGGAGGAAAGCAAATGCCACTCCTGTCTTCAAAAAGGACAAGGAGGACCCAGGGAACTGCAGGCCAGTCAGCCTGACCTTGATCCCTGGGATGGCGATGGAGAGCTCATCCTGGGAACCATGTCCAGGAACATGAAGGACAACGACATCACCATGAGCGGTCGGCATGGATAACAGCCTCAAAGTGTGCAAAGCGCTAGGGCTGTGGAAAGCTTGTGGCACCAGGCAGCAGCCAGGCAGTCACCCCAGATTCTTGCTATAGCAAGGTCTGGCTCTTTACTTGTCTCCAACTGGAAAAGGCAGCAGTGGGAGCTCTTGGCTCTGGGTTAACCTGCGATCCAGGGGCCTAGGTCAGTATGTCTAGGGTGTTTGTAGCAGTTTCTCCAAAGCCCAGTCAGACAGCATACACAAGCCAGAAGGGGCAGGACTGCGGGAGCACTGACAAAGTTACTGCAAGCCCTGCTCACTTCCAGCCATGCAGTCACATCACGTTGGCCAAACCCCCGAAAGCTGCTCTGGGAGAGCACATCTGCAGCCACTGCCAGTGCAAACTCCCCTCTCTCCCCACCACAGGGGCCATCTAAAACACAGGCCAGAAGGGAGGCAGATTCCTCTATGTACTACCCAGGTCTCGGTACCTATGCTCCAGCCTCCAGTGCCAAGTCCAGGATCTGACATGCTGGAACAGGAGCCAGAGGAAGTAAAGCTGGGCTGTTGAGGGGGAAAGGAGAGGAACTCATGTCATCTACCTGAGAGATGTTCAAAACTATCCAAGAAAAAGGGGAAAGAAAGGCCTGCCATACATATCGGCTGTGGGAGGCCAGGTTGGAGGCACGCTGAGGAAAGGGGCCGTAGGAGTTTGGGCATCCCTGTAGCCTGGATTGGGCTTCAAACACGCTGCAGAGCATGGCCAGGGTCTGCACATCATGGAGCTGTGAGTAATGAGCCAGCCTGGGAGATGAAAAAGACAGACAGTATGAGACTGGGCAGAATTCAGTGGCAAAAAGCATCAAGACTCCAGGGCAACTAATTTCAAGCCTGTTGCATAAATCGATTTTATATTTACTGCCCAAAGGAGGCATGTGTGCTCTGCAGGACTGGGTTGTCTTTTCCATCACACCTTTGAGGAGACAAGCCCTCCTTCTGAAAACCCTCGTGGCCTAACAGATGGGAGAAAGATGGGAGCCCTGGGAACCCAGCAGTACTTGTGGCCTGATTATCCCATGTTTGTGCAGCTTCAGGAACAAGGTCCACAGAACTGCTTTTAACTGGATGTAAAGCTGGAGCCCTTAGATTCACCCCTAGCCACAATGTCTTTTTGACAAAACCCTCTACATACAAGCATCCCACATCTAGATCAACTACATCACAAGGCAAAACCCCACCACGGGTTTTCTGGATGGCTATGAAGTGCCTGGATTGCTCTGAAGACCCACAGTGATGAAGAACTACCTGCTCTCCCCTCCCACTGCTGCCACACAACAGGAAAGAGCCTGGTCATGCAACAGTATGCAAAATACACCACACAAATCCTGTGCCTCCAAATACGGTACATCAACAGATAATATTAATCACTAATTATGCCCCCTCCTGAACAGATTCACTGGCAGGAGGGCATTTGCAGCTAGTACTTGGCTTTGAGACCAGTGGAATGATTTCCCAGTAATGCTACATGGCATTGAACAAATGAACAAAACAGCTGCACCAACACACTCCTTTAGAAAAACCAAGATCTGCGAGTGAGGCACTGCAGGCGTGCTGGAAAGCAGAGCTCCAACTGCACCTGGCCTACTGCTCAATGTTAGCCAAAGGAGACCTGGGTGCTAGATGGGAGGCCAAATGCTGCCTCCTGTATGTCAAACACACTTGCAGCTTCCCTTCTTCATGCATGTCAGGCTTGAGAGAGGAAAAAAAAAAAGTACACGCTGTGGCACTACTCCAAAGCTGAAATGATGCCTTAGAATGTACATAGTTATAAAGGGCTCTGCTTCAGCAACCATTCCCCAACCCCTCCCCGGCATTCAGACACCTACAAGGACTCCAGTAATTGACGACCAAATGGATGTTGTGCCCAAGGTATCTCCAAATCTGGGTCAGACTTCGGCCCGAGACAGAGATCAGTGGCTACCATGGCCAGTGACCAGACCTGGCAGACAGGAAGGAAAAGCATGAAAGCTACAATTAGAAATAACCACACTCCCAGGGCATAGGTGTGCACAAATTCACTCACAGACAGATAATAATGAAGCTTGCTCCCCCCCCCCGGCAGCAGGGAGCAGTTTCAGCCTCCATCTCACAAATAATATATAGAGTTATACAAAACCAAAGCCTTCCCTGTCCCACCTGCTTTGAGTTTGGGTTAAACTTTGAAGAAGAATAGTCTCTAGTCTAACAGACCTGTCAGGGTAGCTTAACAGTTTAGTGCATTTTATACTTACAAACCTCAAAAGGGTTTAGATTTGATATAGTTCTTGGGTTTGGAGATGTCTGGTGACAGAAAGTTTACTGGGGATTCATTATTTGCATGAAAAGCAATCTTTTGATTAGTCATGAGTGTTACTGAGCACCTCTCTTCTCCCAGCATAGCCCAGTGCAGACAGGAGTACAGTTTGCCATTTCTACTCCAACAGTTAAACTATTTCACATTAAATTTCTCCTTCATTTATCATCCTCTACCCTGAAAATGGTTCCATCTCTTCAGTCTCTATACCATTGATCTAGGACTGTTTTTCCTGCTGTGCCTTTTAAAATGAGCAATTAGAATATTCTGGTGAAAAGCAAAGCTCCTAGTTTGGCATGAGAAAATAGTAGGAAAGGAAAAGGAGCATGGTGCTGGAAAGACAGCAGAAATGGGAGAGCTGACAACATGGAAAAGCAAAGAAAAAACACGTGCTTCACGTACAAAGAACAGCCAGGAACAGTAGTCCCATAGCTGCTCACTGTGAAACCAGAAAGAAAGGAACGGGAGAGAAACTGAAACAAGGACAGGGCTGAGGACAAGAGTGAACAGAAAGGAAACGGGAAAGACACCGTTTCCAACACAGCCATAGGGCACATCTCACATGTAAGCCTCCCCATCTGCTAGGAATGAGGCAAGCTGGAGTCACATGAGACAGGGAAAAACAAGCAAGAAACAAGAGGTATCTGAGAGAAATCTTGCTGAAGTTATTCCACCCAACTTCTGGTCCAATGTGGGCAAACCAGACAGCAAGATGAAGCACAAAGAGGAACTAGACCTACCTTCTCTATCCTGGTCTAGCAGAACCCACCAAGAAGCAACACAGCAGCTTGGGTTTGCTTCTGCTTAGATCACGTAAGCCTATGCATGTTCCCGGTCCAGGTCTAGGAAGAGTCAAATGCTCAGGAAAGATGCACAGGCTCCTCTGGCAGTGCCAGCCTGCTCCCAACTCTTTCAGGTACTCCTGAGTCCTATCAAATGTTTTATCTGTTGTGATGGACTAACCACACAAAAAAGGACAGGCCACAATAGCCATTTTCATCTTTTTACTGGCTGAAGGTAAGTGGCCAGTCCCATTCTGTGGCTGGGTCCCTGGGTTCAGACTCTCTTGGGGAGAAGCTAGCTGCAGTTAGCACCCACTGCCAGCACAGTTGAATGCTTAACAACGGGAATGATTATATAACTAAGACAAAATCACCCATCAGAACGCTGACAGCAGCTAGGCGACTATGTGCACAGTTACTCCATTTGCTGACTCAAAAGCAGGCTGCATTCCTCTCTTTGCCTGCAGGAATCCCCAGAAAAATGTGCTTTGCTCAGTTTGTCAAAGGGCATAAAACAGTCTGCTTGCAGCCCTGGGAAGGAATCTCTTGATGCCAAGAGTCAGTGAGGTAGAGACCACCTCCGTGGCGGTTCCACAGGCCTCGGTTCACCAACTAGAGACTCCCTGGAACAACTGCTTTTTCAGGTGGCTGTTTGGGTATCAAGGTGACAGCACAAGCCATTTGAGGGTAGCACAGCATGCTGAGGAAGAGGTTTGATTAACACCATACCTGTACGAGATCCCTCCGTCCCACAGCCAAGGCTGAGGCAGCGTTCTTCTGGCAAGTCTCCTGGATATTATTCACATTCAGTCTAAAAAGAAAGGAGATTGGTCAGCTCTGGTTGGTGCCTTATCCACAAAAGCAGGGAGGGGTGGGGGAAAAGTGGTACTGGCAGCAGTGAGCAGCCCAGAACTTCCTGATCAATATGAGCCTGCTAGCATGACCAGGATCCCATCCATTCCTTTTCTATTATTCAGGGATCACTGCCATCCTTCTCCCACTATTCATCTTCACTAACACACTGCACATCAAGTCCAGCTCCAAACTAGCTGAGATTGATCCCAAGAAGCACCATTTCCAAGGAGATATTGGACTAAACTTGTACCAGGATATCACCAAGCCAAGACACACTCTTATCCCTAGAAGCTGGTGCCATCAGTTACCTGATCCTGTTCCTACTCAGCCTGTTGGTCTGCTCTGACTGACCTGGAGGGAGACAGCAGCACACTGTGGAGAAGCAGGCTGGTCTTCAGCCTGTTCCCCAGTAGAATAACGCCCGCACCAGGGAGTCTCTGAGAGGCTGGCAAGGCGGGCTGAGGAAACCCACATGGGCTTTTCTGCTTATCATCAGAACTATCTTCCCAAGAGACTTGACACTTTTACTGCTTAAGATCTTCGAGCAAAAGGAAAAGGATCAGGCTGTTTACAAAGAGAGGAAAGGGCTAACAGTTTTTTTTTCCTAAAGAACACTCTTTTTAGTCATACAGAAAAGAGAGAAGGAAGATTTTTTCCTCTCTTTTTTTTCCTCCCCCTCCTTTAAGTAGGGAAGCCTACTTCTCCCCTGAATGTCCGCAGACTGTAAATTCTGTGACAGACCAGACAGTATTACCAAAGCTAAGGAAGCAGAAATTCAGGAACAGAGATTTTTTTAACTATCTGAATTAGACAGTTCTGAAAAAGAAGCTCCTTGTTTAAAAAAACAAACATAACTTCTCCATCCTTTCCATTAAAGCAGAACTTGCTGTACAACACTGTCATGTACAACCAATTCTCCAAGTGAATGGGGCACTCCAAACACTTCTGAAATTAAAAAGCCTTATAAGTTAATAACAGTTTTTATAGTATGAGAATGACCATTTATCGGGATTTTTAAGCCTGTGCATTTAAGTGTGGAGTTTAACACAAGATTTGAAAAAGAATTTGTACCGATAATTTGCCTCTTTAGCTGATGAAAACCTGAACCTGCAGCGATGATGCTGGAGCACCGGTTCAAACTTTGTGTGCAATACCCCCTCACAAATTTCTTCCATCATACTTTTCAGATTTACAGGAGACAAGTCCCCTCTCACAGGCAGAGGGATACTGTAAAAAAGCAGCAAGGCAAGGAAACGTTCGAAGATCAGTGCTGCCTGACTTCAGGATTACAGCACAGCAATGCCACAGGCGGATGCTTTCATCTGGGGAAGGATGCCAACCCGTACTCACATGTAGAGCTCTCCCAGCAGCTTGTGGACTGGCAGCAAGCAGGAAATATCTTGGATAATAACTTTCCCAGCGGCTTTGATGGGTCGGTTGTTGGCATCTGTCCCTTCTCGTTTGCTTTTCCACCTCCTTGATTTCTGCAGAACAAATGGCAATGTGTTACTGGGGAGGAGGGCGACAGGTTTCTTGGGCCAGGGAACAAAGCACTAGGGTCAGGAATAATGCAAGCAGCACACAACCTGCCTTTCAGAAAGCTCTGTGTTACCCTGGAAAACATCCATGACATGCCCAGGAGAACAAGCATCTCCATCTGTTGGAAGTGAAAAGCAGGTCAAGGCAGCAAGCTCAAGGTCAAACTCACTCAAAAAGTATTTTGTGAGTTCCCCTGTGAAAGCCAATAAGAGAACAAATCAGCATTGGGATGCCAATCAAACCTGGGTAGGTTTGGCAGGAGGATGGTTCAATTATCATTCTCACTAGACGTCTGGTCTGGGAACCCTCTGCACACAGACCACTGCTGACTTCAGCCAACATCAGCACAGAGACATGCGGGACGCAGCTTCTCCTTGCCCTTAGCTTCAGGGCAAGCTGACAGCTCCAGACTGTCTCTTTTGGTCTCCTCTTTCAGTGTTTGAGTACACCCCTGTTTAGTGCCAGGACACAGCTCCCACCTCCTGCTTTATCAACAGCTTCAAACAATAATTGCCAGATGATAAAGCAGGGCCCAAGTCTTCTTAGCAAGGACCCCTGGCTACCATGCTCACAGCTACTTACAGCTGGCTCAGGACATACGGTGAGGAAGGAGAAGAGAGCAGAGGAATCAACACAAGGGAATGAAAACAAGAAGCCAAGATGATTCCCAAATACTCCTGGTAATAGACAAACAGACCATCTTAACGCCAAGCTGCATAAAGCTACCTTGGCTGTATGAAACACCATAGAGTATTTGGCTGGTATCCTGGCCTCTTCTAGCTCCTCGCTCTAGGAGGGGGAGAAGGAGGGATGAGAGGATGTGCAGCAGCACGACAGGCAGAAGGCACTGGAGCTCTACGGAGGGAAGCACCGGCTGCTACGCAGGGCTCCTAAGCGCAGTGAAGGAGGCTTTGCAATGCTGCTCCCCTGTGGTGTGTTCCCTGACTGACACATGGAGTCCACGCTCCTATACAAAGTGTCTCCTGGTCACGCTGAGTTACGGAGTCTCCTGAGGCACTTGTGGTGGGCTTCCTACACCCCTCTCTGAAGCAGAACAGTACCTTTGAAGGGGCCAGCAAAGCAGCCCCGTGCCGATGGCTCCACAGGGCAGGCAGAGCTCGCACAGGCAACACATCGGTGCTCCTAAAGAGCAGGTGGGGCTAAAGGAAGGGCAGGACTGGACCTTCTGCTGTGGCTGTCAGGCCAGCTCTGGGATGGCTGAGTGCCAAATTTCCTTTGGCCATGATCATGCAGTCCCAGGAGAACCTGGGCAGGCTTATCACAGACATAAAATGCCCATAAAACCCCCTAAAAACCTTAAGAAACAAATTCCTTCTTCACTGCCTACCTGGCCCAAGCTTAGGCCCACGTGCTGAGGAGGTCCTGCCATGCTGAGCATACTGCTAACATATGCCACAAGAAGCAAAAAGGACATGCTCCTGAAGTCACTTTGGACACTCCATGACCAAGGCTCAGAGGCTCAAGCACAGGCTTGACAGTAAATGAAGGTGTTTCAGACTTGAAGGAGGTGAAGGTGGATTTTTCCAGGGATGCCCATGTGACAGAGCATCACCAGTTCCCCTGACCTTCCACCACTCCCCAGAGCAAAGAGGAGCAGAGAGTGCATGCTGCCCAGTATTCAGGGGCACCAAACGCTGGTGGAAACAGGGCTGTGAGCACTCAGTGCTTTGGAAAAGCTGGCTGACTAGGGCACGATTCTGTTCTCTGCCATGTCCTCTCAAGTCCCAATTCATCCAAGCAGAATTTGCCTGCAGTATTTATCTGCTACATCACTCTGAAGCTGAGAAGTGCTATGCAGTGGAAGGTGGCTAGAATGCGGTAAGATGGGAGACCAAACTCTCTTCAGTCCATCAGTTCCTAATCAAGGTACTGTCTGGATCAGCTCTGGCTCTCTTGCTGGTGGGCAGTTTTTGATAAAAATGTAGCTACCCTTCCTGTGCTGAAGGACGTGGACTGTATCACCACAAGGTTCCCAAAGAACAGTGGCACCTGCACATCATTCCTTGTCAGGGCAGCCAAATGCTGTCTGCTAGGTGCAGCAAGGAGCTGCTGCTGCTGCCAAAACCAATACTTGAGCAAAGCTTGGGAGGCCCAGTACAATGACATGCCATCAGGGCAAGAGCTCAGGCACTGTCCTGGATGGGCTACAAGGCTTCTCACAACACTGCCCCATCAAAGGCTGTTACTTGTGCTGTGTCTGAGCAGGCATTTGAACGCAGGCTTGCAGATGCAGAACCACATTCCACAGGTCTATCACCAAGGGCTTCTAGAGCTTGGCAGGTAATTTGGAGAGCAACTTGCCACCTCCTCTCCTGACCATCTGCCCCCAGAACTCGCAGCCGATGAAGAGTTCCCTCTGACCAAGGCAGGTTCTCTGCCCAGTCATCAGGAACAGATTCAACCTGCTCCTGCCCTCTGCAAGAGCAGACTGAAGAAGCCTCCCAACAGGCATTTCAAAGACTAGAAACACGGACAACATATACCACTTTCCACAGGTAATTCAGTCACTTTTTTTTTTGGAGGAGAATGACAACAAATGAGGATGAGAATGGAAAAGGAGATCTCATGAATGGTTTCCACTGCTTGCTGTTAGCGGATCACCAGACAAATTAAGACGCTAAATGTATCAGAACCCCCTGAAAACTTGGACTCACAACAAAACTGTTCCATTTGCTTCCTCTTAGCACTGCCTATTTACTGGCAAAAAGGGAAGCCTTAATTCTTTACTGGTGCAGCTCCTGGAGTGGAGTCAGTCGATGGCCATGTGCCCTGCCAGTCCTGCACTTCCAGGACCACTACCTCCTGCCCCTCGAGCTGTGACAGAAGAAAACCATAAAGCCACATGTAGAATCACCATTAAAATGTCTGTTTTTCTGCAGTTCAGGTTTGCCTCAGCTACAGCAACAAAGCATTAGAAAAAACTACGATCAGAAGTATGGGAACCATCATGCATGAGGTAAGGCTCATCACCACTGACAGCAGAAGCTCTACTTTGAACCAAACAATTGCTGGCATTAGATGCAGGAGTAGCTCTCCACCAGGCAGTATCTGAGCACTTCTAACAGGAATTACCAGAGGCAAGGAGAGCTCTGGCTTGGGTCTGTCTGGCCAAGATCCACCACAAGGTTCCTCTCTCCCTTCTGCCTCATCTCTTCTCCCAGGAGAAGCTCCCACTACGATGTTATCGAAAGGTGTCACCGAGGCTCATGAGCATTAGGGTAGAATAGAAAATACATCTTTTCCTAGGGGCTACAGCACAGGTCACGAGGGGGAGCAGGGAACATAACAGTTGGAGCTGAAGCAGAAGTCAACATGAGTGCACCAAGCTATCTATTGACAGCTGAAGGTCAAAGACACAGGTCTTCTGCACTGCCTCCAACATTTCTAGCTCTTCCTGCAGCCCAGAATCCATGCCAAGGAGAACTGCATCTACCCAGCTGCTCCTGTGAGTTTAAGGAGAGGAAGAAAAGAAGGAAAATAGCAACAGTGCTAGTAAATTAAGACTCATCAGCTCCTCAGAGCACCAGAAGGAAAGAAACCAGAGCATTTATGACAATCATGGGGTCGGAGGTGACAGCGGGGAACAGCACTGAATAATGACTAAAAAAGCCAGCCTACACCTGCACTACCATACCCAAGGCTGTAATTTGCTGCAATCTGAGGTGATAACGATGGCAGTAAATGGGTTACATGTAGAAACAGATAGCCCAAGAATAAGCCACCAACTGCTTCGTAGCAACCACCATCATTGCTGCATACTCAGCAGAAGTAGTTACAAAATGCTGCATGCCTGCTTGGAAAGGATGCTGAACAGTTGTGTGTGTGTGTCTTTGGATCCTGCCGAGGCGGGCAGTGCTGTAAGTAGCATTGTGAAGTGTAAAGTACCTGTTTCGCGTAAGCATATGCAAAATTTCAGGGTTCATGGTATAAACAGGTGTTAGTAAGGCAAAGGGAAAGGTTGCAGACAGAAGGGAACAGACTTGATGCTGACAATTAAGCTGCAATAAGGCATTTACAAAAGAAAAGAGTTAAACCTGCTCAAAGTCAGGTTCAAGCTGCTTCTAATGTTAGTTTTGTTGTGTTGGTTTGTTTGGTTTTGGTTTTTTTTTTTAAATAAAATTTAAAAATTGCTGTCTCCCTGCAGAAAGCTGTGCTCCTTTATTCTGAACAACTGCCTACAGATTAACTCCCCCATGCAGGTCATGCAGTACTGCCTGGATTTTCTCTTCAATATAATCAACATTTACTATTTCCAGCATCTCCCACAATACAAGGCACCTTCTACAAAGGGGCTAAAAAAATCTGAGGCGCTTTCAAATCAAGTGCCCCACAGCAAGAATATTTCTTTATAGCTTCCATCAATTAATAGCTGGCACTTGCCCTGAAGCACAGGCATTTCTGAAGAGGAGTCTCGTCATCACCTAGAAAGAAAGAGGAATTATTCCTTCTTCGAAACTTGCTAAGCTCTTGCTTCCCTGAGCACCCTGAGCAAAGCTGAGCTCTTCGTCCAGAAGGAAGGCACCTGGTCTGATATATAATCTACACCTCTCTTCTTGCATGCCTGCATCTTTGCCTTGGGCACTACTGCCCACTTTAGAGAGTGTGATTAGCCCCTTCAAAGGTTATCCACAAATACAAGTGCAAGCCTTGAAGTATGGTTGTATCATTTTTAAGTACGTTACACAAAATGATACCTTTTATCACATCACTACTTGTTTGTCCTTCCAAGCCAGTGATAAACGAATTAAACTGTGGCCCTTTGTGCACTACAATTTACCACGCCACAAGCTGGCAAGTTCCTTGCTTGGTTTTCTTTCTTTCAGTCTGTTCCTGATCCAAGACAGAACTTCCTTTCTTGCCTCCACTGCTCACATTTCTTTATTAGCTCTTTGCAAAAAGCCTTGATGGAGTCAAGTAAATTACTTCTGGTTTCTTTCACCTACTATTTGCCAGTATAGTCTTAAAGCTGGTGTAATTAGGAAGGCTTGATCTTATTATACCAAGTTAAATTAGGTGTTGCAGGATTCTACTTTATTCCCTGCTGTCTTACGAGGAGACGGCATGAAGAACAGCAGTTGTGAAAAAACAGTTGTTCACACAGACATTAAGAAAAACAGACCTAAAGACATCATCTTTAAATTGAAATGAAGTTTTCTAAGCTTTGCCTATGCTTGGCAGATGAGTGATGAGACAGTAATTGTCCAAATTTACAGCACAGCTTGAGCAACGCTGATATCATCAAGATGTTAACATGAATGATGTTCAAGCTTGAGGGACACATGGACCTGACTAATGAAAAACAACTGTCAAAGCATTCTCGGAAGGGCAGGTGCCAGGAGGAGGGAGTACCTGCCAGGGCGGCTGGGAGTGCAGCTACTCGAACTGAATGGAGGGTGGTGCAATTCCAAGGGCTGGGAGAAGATCACAAATTAAGGAGAAATTCTATTTATTGCTCCAGGAAATAAGTCTTTATGGTGCATTGCACTGAGAACAGGCAGCTCATTTTAATAAGATGACAGATAGTTGTCAGCAACTCAACCAGTTTGTTTCTTCCACAGCTCTTAAGTGATCCTCCCTCTCCAGCGAGGCTTCATCTTTTTCAGAAATGAGGTGCTCGAATGCCAGTCTCATCAGTTGGTTCATGATGCATAACAATCATTCAGCCCCTCTGCAATGCACTCTGTTTCTTAGAGGCTGAGCTTTTCTTACGCTTCAAATTACCCCTTGGCATCCTTTCCTGACTGCTAGGCCAGGTGAAACAGGCATGTGGTAGGTCACGATCTGTACCCTGCGAACTAGTGTCTGCTCCTGTCCACTTGCACGGGCATTCACTCTTACTGAAGCCCTAGGCCCTGTGTGGAGTGCAAGTCCCCCACCTCTGTGCAGGTTACTCAAAGGCAGGCAGGTGGCATTTTATTCTTGGGCCCTTGGGCAGAAGACAGGGTTATATCAAGGACAGTATTAGCACAGCGCACAGTACCGGGAAGTCGTTAATTGCTTGTATGGACCAACGTCGCCGGGCAGAGCGAGGAGACATCTGTTTGTGAAAACGTTATACCCAGAAGAAGGGAAGAAAGACACCAAGAAGATTAAAGACAAAGGTAAATAAACTGAAATGAAAAGTGCCCTGAACCAGCAGAGTAACAGATACTGTCCCCAATGGTTCTGTTACACAACGAACAGTTGCAAACCACGATCCCCGCTTTCATCCACACACAGTTGTACTGTATAACATTACCTACAGCCCTGGCAAAGCAAGGGCTGCTGTGTCTGTGCCCCACACCAGCCTCTGTGGAAGACTTTGGCAACCACAAAGCTGAATAAAGTCTTCCACACAGAACTGTATTACTGCAAGAAGTACCGAACTGCTTCATGTGACCTTGATCGTACCATGAATTGACAGCAGAGCAGAGGACAACACCCTGGTGCCCCACATGCTAGGCTCCTGCTTTAACCAGGTTTTACTCCTCTTGGCTGAAGAGGAAGGCAGCTAACTGCAAACTGCATCATTTTTAACACAGCTGTCCAGTGCCATGGCACAGAAATCTGCAGGAATCTAAATAAACACTCCTGCTTACTCAGATATCCTTTTAACATCCAGCATCCTCCAGGACTTCATTCACTGGAACCTGCTATAACTGTTCACTTTCATTTTAAACAATAATAGCCACATGCCAGGATGTTAGAAGGGATGTAAAGACCCTGTCACTTGGCAGGGCCACGCGGAAACTGTCATTATGGGCTGAGGAACTCATTCAGGTTGAGTAAGCAATCAAATCCACTGATTGGCTATGCAGAATAGCTCCAAAGCAGTCTTCCTTTATGAACTTGCAGACATTTCATTAAGTACGCAGTGCGGTATTGTAGCAACAATAAGTGGAATCCCTTAAAGCACATTACTGTGCACTTACTTGAAAAAAAAATTCCTGTTACAGTTCTGAAAGAGTTGACACAATAAAAACAATTATTTGTATCATGTGCAATATATTTTACATTTATTTCCAGCTGATGATAGGCTGTCAGGACCATCAGCCATGCCTTCAGCCTCTACCTCCCCTTGCATCTCACTGCTGCAAGAACCCTGCAGCCAGGGAGCTGAGCAGTGAGGCTGGCTGCAGGGCCCCACAGAAAGAGAGAGGAGAAGACTGCAGCTTTGTGCTACAGGTTCCTTCACCAGGTCTCACAAAAGAAGGAGAAAAGGGTTAGTGGAAGGAAATTTGGTATAGTATATATAAGGAGAAGCAGCAAAACTAAGCTCAGTCCCTCGTCAAAGTCCTGCTCTCCTGTAGGCAGCCACTGCTGCCAGCCTCCACTCCCCTGTGCTGTGAGTTTGAGAGATCTGCAACCAGGTGGGCACCAGGTAAAGCCTGAGGGATGTCCTGAGAAGCAGCAGTTTCCAAGCCCTGCCACATTCCCCAATGGGAAGCATGAGGACACCACTGTCACCACCCCTGTGTACAGCTGTCCCTCAGGCAGGGCTGAGCTGTCCCCAGGTCCCCACTGGCATGACCCTCTAACCAGGGGGAGAAAAACACAGCCAGGGCACCTTCCTTAAGAGACATCCACGCTTGAGACACTGATGGCATTGCCACAGTATAGACACAGCTTCTCCTTTCTGCTGACTACTACTCTTTAGTGGGTTCTTTTGAGAAGTGAAAAAGAGTGAGGAAGTAAGGAGGAGTGTGCATGTGTGAATAAAAAGTGAGAAAGAGATATATATGTGTGTGTATATATATATGCACACATTTAAATGGTTACAGAAAGGCTCAGTGCCAGATTTAGTTGTATTTTGGTTTACAGGAGATCTCCCCTTGTTTTCAGCTCCCTTGCCTTTATGGGAACATGACGTATTTCCTGTCTAGCAATGGGCAAATTCCATTAATTTGCTAATGGTAGCATTGCCAGTCGTGGCTACATGGGATTTATTATCGCTGACAAATTCAGTTTTGGGGCCGAAGTTATGTAACATGACAGTTTAACACACAAAACTTCAATTTTTATTTAATGCAACTATAAAATCCAAGCTACAGAGCAAGAAGCTAACTAGGCTGAGAGTCTGGGCTTTTTAAAAACTTCACAACGAAATGACATAAAAATATGTAGCATTGATCTAACAGAGGCCATGACACCAACTCCTAAAGAATCAGAAAACCTTTGCTGAAGGGAAATACAGATTTTGGGGTTTTTTTGAAACTTTCATCTGCAAGAACATTTGAGCTAGCTCCCTGCTAGGGCCCTTACGCTTCTTCCAACCCAGCATGGGAGGAGACAGCTTGGCAGGGGGAAGGGGAACACAGGAATTTTCTCTGGCTTTCAGCAGACATGGCTGTGCACATGCTTTGTTCTCTTGACTTTTTTCCCCCTGACAAAAATCTTGTCGCCATCAATACAAGGACCAGGAAGACAGGTCACATGAAATCACACCAAGTTGCTTCCACATGTTATTTTTAGCCTTGTCTGTCATCTTAGAGAGCTGCATGTCAGAGACAAGCATGCTGCAGAGGACAGAATAATAAATAAACCCTACTGCAAGACTAGAACAGGCTATAACTCTCGTACCAGGCAGCACCATTTTCTCTTCTCATCAAAAAGAAGTTTGTGTGGGGAAAAAAAACCAGAACGGGGGCTCCAAGGGTCTTCTGGGGTCTGTACGGATGCAAAGCTTGCCATGGGGACAGAAGCTCCCCCCCCGGCTGGTAGGTGTAGTAGCTAACTCATATCACATCATGTCAACAGGACACAGTCCCAGAGGGGCTAGCTGTCATGTTCAGCACTACTGGAAAATCAAGACCCCTTTCAGTGCCCAGGAGGGGTGAGAGCTCAAGGCTCTGACTTTCCCTCTGCTCCTGGGACAGGAGTTCCCAAGCTCCACTGCAGCAGAGTACAGACAGCTCTCTGCTTTCCTTGAGGTACCTGGAAGCTCTCCACTGCTGCAGCAGATTAGTGCCCTCAGTATGGACAGCGGACCACTACTCAAATGCCCCAGATTCTCAGGCTCTCAGTGCAAGCTTACTGTATTTTTGCAAGCCACTTCACTCCCTACTGAAGTACAAAGAGTTTGTTTCTGAGCAAGCTGCACAGCCTATTACTTCCACAGCATCTGCTCCAGGCACATCGGGCCCTCAGCTGCTTCAGAATTACCCTACAGTCATCCTACAATTACCAACAGGTCTTCCTCACTCTCTATGCTCCAGAAGGAAACAAACCCACTCTCCCCGAAAGCCTTGCTTGTTAACAGCAATAACAGCAAGACCTCCACCTAAACCAGAAGTATGTGGATTGGAAGATCTTTGGAGAATCATGTAGGAATGATTTTTGTTTAACAAAAAGTCCAAAGGGGCACATATCCCTGAAAGAGACACCTGTAACAGAAATAATCAAATATACCCCACAAACCAGGAGAGGCTGTCAGTAAGCTGATATACATCAGTGAGTAAAGCAGAGCTGCCTACATGTACTTATCTGGAAACTACAACTTCTAAAGTGCAAGATTTCAACCCTACATAATGTGAAGGGAGACAGTGTAATGCACTGAAGGAATCTGTGACGGTCAGCGTAGAGAGATACCAAAACAAGCAGGTCAAATGCTGGAGAGGATCAGTAAAGAAGTTACTAACAGAAGATAAATCCATTTGACATTTTTACAGAGCTGCCCGTAAAAAGATGCCTTCTTGAGAGGAATGTGAAGCTTCTGTTACCAGCAATGCTCACAGCTATATGAAAGGAATACAGATCACAAAAGTTGAAGTGTTACAAAAGGCTTTTTGGTCTGGTACTTACCCTCTCTTTGTAGTAGAAGGAGCTAATGGAGACTTGCTCCTTCTCGCTACGTGTTGGGCTCCCACTGTACAAACGCAGATTGCCTGGAGTCTCTGTGCGGATCTTCATTGGAGTAATGAGGCCACTATGGTACGCTGATAAAGCTGACAGGGACCTAGAAACAAGAAAATACTCTTTCAGGAGCTTTCACCCACCAAATTGCCCTGGAGGCTCTCTCATCTCCACTAACGCAAGCTGCTAGTAATGCTCCAGGTGTTTTGAAAGGAGTCTCTGCTGAGGGCCAGTGACATAAGGGACCAGGCTCTCCAGGTCGAGGGCAGGGCTAACACTAGAGGCCAGTACTTTCTGAGGGTCAGTAGCTCCAGTGTCGGATCTGATACTCTCCTGCCTTCCTGCCCGTGACAGTGGCACACCTCAAATGGGTACTCACCTGGGTGTGGGCTCTGTCGGGGACACTGCACGGTGCATGGTCATGGGTCTCGTGAAATACACCAGGTAGCCTGAACAGACAGGACACAGCACAAATATCATGCAAGGAGAAGCAGATTACCCAGGGGAGGGTCTACACAGGGAAACTTGGTCCTTTAAGGTAAAGTCAAGGGGCTGGGCACCTATCCACTACTCTAAGCCCTTTTAAACAACAAGTAGACAATTTCATTTCCTCAACCCAAATCCACTCCCTGCAAACCCATCAAAGAGCATGTTTGGTTGACATGACTGTGTTAAAAACACCGGCTCAAGTGGCTTACAGATGTTAGAGAAAAGACAGTAAAAGACAATGAGCAAATACACACTCATGTTTTAACTCTTCACCAGAGCTTGTCACTTCAGAGGTGAGGTGACGTTTAGCTACGCAGAGAAACCACTGCAGCTTGTACAACTCTCCTCTTCAAAAGGATAACCCCAGCCATCTGAATCCAACCCCAAAGTACTCTCTCACAAGCCTTACCCCATTTGTCAGCATCTCAAGTGTCTTCAGCCACTCACTCTTGCAAGAGTTTCAGGACTTAGCAGGTATCACCGAGCCTATCCAACGCAATACTACTCTGGTTTACTTTTGCTGGGAATTTGGTGAGGCCTGTATGAAAAGCAGCTTTCAAAACATGCTCAGACTGGGATGCGGTCAGGTCTGGAGAAGGCATGCTTGCACCTGCAGCAGCTCAGTGTAACTTAACAGCTCTTACTCAGATCTTAACCTATTTTTAAGAATGATCTTTGCACTGTACGCTCTCCTGGAAACCTGGACAGGATTGTACCCCATCTCCCATTCAGAAGTTTCCCAATGACCTTGGGAAAGCTACTTTGGACAACAGAAAGGGTGCAGAATGAGAAAAGAGTGGTTAGTAACAAGAATATGGTTTCAGCAAGGGATAAGTTCAACCCCAAATCACAGGAGTTTTGTGAAGACTGAGTGCCAGACCATGTCCAGCAATTTGGTAATGCTAGGAGAGAACTAGGCAAGGAAAACAGCTATTCCCAGTCTTCTGTAAGAGAAGTCTCAGAATGCTTCTGGCATGCCATAAGCCAAAGTCCATCTTTTCAACTAGCCACGGATTTCCAAATCCTAAAATCCTGCATGCAACACCAACTGCAAACAGTTGCTAACTAGTCTCACTATAAATTTATCACAACATCGCTACTGTAATACCATTTCTTACTCATTGCATGGCAGTGACCACAGCCTCGTCTTGTTCAGAGGCAAGCGTTCCCCAAGGCATTAAAAGGACTATTTCACAGGTAGCTGTTGTAACATATCAGTGATAGGGCTAACCTGCACCACAGAACCTGGCTCCAGAGGTCCGCGGAAATGGGATGTTAGAGTCCTGGTAGGAGCCATAGGCATTGGAGACCCGGGCAAACGTGGGCAAGGGGGGTGTTACGGAGTTCGACAAAGCGTAGGGATTGCTGGATGTGCTGTCCTCTTGGTTCTGAAACAGAAGTTACCCAAGGTCACACTCCTGCTGCCACAGGAAGGAATCTAAGCTGGAGCACTGGGCATTGCAGCGCCAAGCAGCCTCATGGAAGGTGCTGGTCCTTTGAGTCAGAGCAGATCAAGCACAGAGTGTGGTTACTGCTTTGGCTGCAAAGGCATCTGCAAGCACATTTACCTTTGACGAAAGGGCTTCTCTGGCTGCTTGTCCAGAGATTTCTCTCCCACCAAGCCATGTTGAAATACAGAGCTTAACTTGGGGTGAAACAGTGGGAAACTGTACAGAAAATCTGACCTTCAGACTCTGCATATAACTCAACACAGGGAGCTGAGTTAAACCCAATACCTCAAGGATGCAAGTGAGCCAAAGTCTCCTTAAATAGGAATACCACACAACTAGGGCGGGAGTCAAAGGCAGGTTGGGAGTCTTGAAGTGAGGAAGGCAGGTGGTGTGAAATACTGGGGGACCTCAGGCCTATCCACAGGAATTTTTGAAGAAATCTGCATTTATTTGGATAGAGTACTGTAGCTTGGGTTTAAAGGAATTCTTCAAAGGCAGCAGCACCTGGCTTGAGTCATCAGATTTCCATACAACGGAGAAAGTTCCCACTCTTACAACATACTGCTGAAACCAAACAGAATTAAGCCTTTCCATGAAAAAAAAAAAAAGCCCTTTATTTGTGACGAATAAACAAAGCCTCTTGGAAAAGAAACCCAAGGAGACTCTCCAATCTTTTCCTGAATGCTAAGAAACACCCACCCTGGTACACTTCATCCACACACAGACCTAATACCTGATACTAGGATGCTGAGTAGGTATCACAGATCTCTCTGCTAATGGCAGTGTGACTTGGATTTATGTGCAGTATCATCCCTAGAAAACCTCAGCAAAAGGCTTCATAAAAAAACCCCAGCCTTTCACCACTTTTATTTTAAGGGAAGAAAACAAAGACCCTAGAATAGGACTAGCAGGATATTTGACTAGAATTGAGGAAGTAAAGACATCTGCCACTGCCTCTCAGACAGGAACGAATCCATCAGCTCCCCGAGGCCGGGGTTATCTCACAGATGATAACCATGCCCTGGCACTCAGTGAGATATACTCAGAGTTGGGAAGCTACCATGCACCACTGAGATGCTCCAAAGCCCAGTCACTCCTGCTAACCTGAATCTCAGTGAGCATGCAGAGTTGCTGAAAGCAGCAAACCTTCAGGGCCTGATTTTCAGAAACCAAACACATCTAATCATCCTCTCGCTCTTCTTCAACATTAACCAGAAGTGCTTACACAAATGTAACTGCCAGCCACAAGGGTCTATTTACACATCTAATGAGGCCGGACTCTCACTGCAGAGTCAGAAGTGTGCGATGTAGGAGAAGACAACAAACTAGGGCAGAAAGTCCACGCAGCTCTCCATACCACAACAGACTCCAGCCAGGAGACCAGCTGACGAAGGCAGGGCTCCAGGCAGCTCTGGTTCCGCTTCACTTTCTGCAGAGAAGTGTCTTTCAATATCTGAAATGCATACAAAATACAGCTCGAATCATGGTTACATCCACACTTCCCCACACCCTATTTTTTGTCTGCAGAGCATATAAGATGCCAGGATCCAGAGAGGCCAAAGACATCCCCTAACATCCACTGGAGCCACACTGACCCATTGGTGTGCTGTCTGCTTTGAGGAACAGCTGTGAGCTTTGATCAGAGCACTGAGGGATCACCTAGATTCAAGCACACTCTGAACCAGGATTTGGGCTTCTATACTACTATAGACCATCCATTCCATACCAGTTTGTGGCAAACTGGATCAGTTTTTTTTTCAGGAAGGAACCCAAACTGATCCGTCAACTTGCTGTTGGGGAAGGGATTTAATCAGCAATAGGACTTCCTACATCAGATGATCAAACAGGTGGCCTGGAATTAGCGGGGCCAGTGCAAAAGGTCCCCTCATTTTTATAACAGTCTGTGGAGGAGAGCAGGAAGCACCTTCCCAGCTCAAAAAGACTATCTTTCTGCAGCTAGATGCTTAGCTGGTCATTTTGTCTATTACAGGGTTGGGAGCAACTGTGCGAGGAGAAGGATGTTAGGGATCCTCAGGCAATACACATCACACAGGAATACAGTAGCAGTGAAGAAGACATTTAAAAAGCACCAGTGGAGAAAGGCAAATACTGGGCTGCAAGGCCAAGAAAAACCTCGCCCTAGGAGCTCCACAACGTATCAGTTCAAACATGGATCCGTGGTATGTCTCCAGCAAGGTCAGCTGTTTTATTGTGCCAGTAATCTAGATATGAAGTGTCCAGCATTTGTGTATTTATAAAGACAGTGCACACTCCTTACACACCTTCAGCAGCTTTGCCTTCATGGAGGCAGTGATCGAGGTCGGGTTGATGAACTGGAAGGACGGCGCAGCATTATTGGGATACTGGACAGGGAACATCACCAGCATCCTGACTCTGTGGTTGCCACAGTGCACTGACACTGTACAGCTACGACTCACCGCATCCATCTGTGTGAGGAAAAGCAATTGCTCTGTAGTTAG